GTAACGAAAAAAATGTGTATCACATATATGTATTTATGGACGCTTATTGATATCCAGCCGGATTTATTGAAATCAGGCCGGACCTTACAAAGCCTGGGCACGGGTTGGGGACTGTGACTTAAGTTCGGGACTTGTGGGTTCAAATAAGCAAAGCTTCGATGTGAGGAGGGTATGCAGGTATGTTACCGTTAGGTGTTATAAGGTTTAGGATTGTTTAGGGGTTCGGTGTGGAATATTGACGTTCAGACCCCACCTACCATCCACATACAGCGCAGTGCACACTTTTCCTGCACTACGACTTCATCTTCGATCAGATCCGACCAGCCGGATGCTCAGCTCTGCACATCGTATCGGCGATGTAACTTGAATATGCGAAGCCATTCTGTTTTGTAGTGCATTAGGGATTTGGCCAATGTCCGCACAACGGTAGTCGAAGCGTGACACCTCCTGGATATACGGGCTACTCTGCCAATATAATCCTCGTCCGACCAACAGGCCCAACCTTGCACACACACTTGCGATGCTCATGCTGCATGGTATATGCACGTATTCTTGCAGAGCCAAGCAGCAAACACAGTTGACAATGCAAGGGCTGTTGGTGCTGAGCTGCAGCTCGAGGTCGTATCTTATTGCATTCGAAGATCGGAATCAGGATTATGCGACATACATGATGCAGGGCCCTGCTGCAGCTAAGCAGCACGATTTCCGCATGCATATGAAGCTTGGGTTTGATTTTGTACAGGGCCCATCGCAATGATGCACACATCCTGGCTAATCGCATGTATCCGTCCTGAGTTCTGGTACTGCGCATAACCCTCGTCTAGCCTAGCTATCACCCTATTTAGGGTTTAGGGCTTAGGGTTTAGGGGCTTGTTGTAGGTGCTAGGATAAACCCTAAACCTAGACCCTAAACCCTAAACCTTCCCATATACCCCCTAATCTTTTAAAATTTGAATGTCAAGCTACAGCACAAATCTAGCAATGCACAAAAGCTAGCTAACGAACTCGACCCTAAACCAAGATCCCCCAAACCATGACTGGTGCCAAGGGAAAGCTTCCAACATCTTCCATCCACTTTCTGCGGCGATGGAGGCCTGCCTTCTGTCTAGGTAGATGCCGGCACTGTAGAGAGTACGAAAATGCCGACCGCAGCATTGTAATGTCCAGCACAACAAACGGAACAGCTGCAAGTGGTTCTGGTCCTCAGCAAAATCAGAACACTACCCTAGGTTACAGCAGGGGTGATAGAAACCAGGTTGAAGTATATCCAAGCTACGATACTTCTTTCATCCACTTGTCCAGTCAGCTCTTCCAGCCATGCATTCATGACACCACAA